ACACTTCCCACAGTCGAACGGACATGCAGAAGCCGCCGTCAAGAACGTCAAGCGGCTCATCAAGAAAACGACGCAGCACGGTGATCTCGACACCGACGAGTTCGTCCACGCTCTGCTCGAGCTTCGGAATACGCCGCGCGCGGACGGACGCTCTCCAGCGCAGGTGTTATTTGGCCACCCGCTGAGGTCGGCAGTTCCGGCCCACCACCGCGCGTTTGCGGCGCAGTGGCAAGAGGCTGCGGACACCTGTGATGCCAGAACTCGACAGCAGAGAAGCCAAACCGAAGAGCGATACAACATGACTGCGCGAGCACACCCAACACTCCGAGTGGGACAAAAGGTCATAGTGCAAGACCCTATCACGAAGGTATGGGACCGTACCGGCACCGTGACCGGCGTGGGGAGCAGGCGCGACTTCAACATCAGACTGCCCAGCGGGCGACTCATGTGGCGGAATCGGCGATACCTGCGACCCCAGAGCGTGGCCGCCTCCCAGTCTCCGCCACCGCAGCCCCAGTCTCCACCACCGCAGCAGCGCCGGCCGGACGGAGAGGCGACCGCCGGCAGCCCGCGGCCTGCGCCTCCGCTGCCGCCTGTCGACGGCGTCGGAGAGCCCCCAGCACCGCTCACCGACGCACCCGCGGCACCAGCGGACGCACCGGAGCCGCGACGCAGCAACCGGCAGCGCCAGCGCACAAAACATCTATCTGTGAGCTGGGGCACTAAGTCATACCAGACGATACCGTGATACCGCATCGCTTACTGTCCGACATATGTCATCCCACACCCTGCGTGGTGCCGGGAGACATCGTCCTCCGCCTCTGGAAGTTTTTTTGTTTTTTTGTTTCTGTTAATGGCGTTATGTGCCTGCTATGTCGTTAGACGTTACTCACTTTGTACCTCTGTGTTTACGTCTTGCGGGGGAGGTGATGGGGTAGTTATCTGGGGGGAGGTGTTATGTGCGGACTTGTGGGTTTGATTTCGGCCACTCTAATCGCCCGAGGCACGGCCGGCCACCGGGGCTGACCGGTCGTCCCCTCCTCAGCCAATACAGTTGACCGACACGAGAGCTAGTGTGTGGACCGGGAGCCGGGGCGAATCGAACACCTACTACCTGATACCTTCCAGTCCACGACAAATGAAGCAAACCATCTCCCTCGAAGTGAAGCCAAGGCAAAGGGAACAGAATGTTAATTATTTCATTCATGCATTGTCCAACTGGAACCTTTAATGTGAACCTGTTTGAAATGCCTTCATGACCTCAACCAACCTAATAGAACTGGAACATCATCTACAAAGTCTTCACCGAAAAAGAAGCCGTCTGACTATTCGCATATTGTACTGGAAAAGAACTAGAAGTACCTAACTACGTCCCGGTCCCAGCGATGAGTGGACTGACGGCCTCCGTCAAATCCGCTGCGTTCTACTGCCCCTTCAACACCTGACAGGCCATCGAAAGCAGGTTTTACTCGCAGGTATGTCGCGTATGTAAGTACATACCCAGCAGAGTGATATTTGAGGGTATCTACTATTACGAAACCTGCATCCCAAAAGATATCTTGTCTTGTCTATGATCGAGTCTACTAACACTAAACCCACCAACACAGCTGCGGTGGTTCATTATTAATTTATGCAAGATCAATGCATTCCACTTCCTTGGCTATGTGCCATTAAAGAGTAATTTTGTTGATGATATGATAAATAATCTAGATCCAATCAACTCTTGACATGCTATGGAGACAAAATGGGTCATAAGGCGTTTAGAAGGGTGTGGATGAAACAGATAATGAACTGAGAAAATCAGACAGAAATCCATTTAAATTATTTTATGTACTTGGTAATCCTGATAGATTAAATGTACGAAATACATACATACTTTGGTCGGCCTTTGACAGTCCTCAGGAACCCTAACATCATCAGTGATTAAATCAGGCAGAAATCCCTTTAGATTATTTTATACACTTGGTAGATTGATGTTCCACCACTGCCTACCTATCGGGCTCCCATGGCTCAGCACTGGCTGCTGCCAGTGGCAGCACTGGCACTGGCAGGCAGTGCTGAGCAGTGCTGACGGCAGGCAACACTGGCAGCAGCCAGTGCTGAGCCATAGGAGCCCGATGGGTAGGGAGTGGTGGAACATCAATCTGCCCCCGAGTGTACCAGTGGCGGCCTGAGGGACCATTGGCGTGGCTCGGTGACCTGTCCTGAGCGGTGACGGTTTATTAAAGAAAACATGGGCATACCTACTTTGGAATGGAGATTGTGAAATTCCCCAGTTTCATTTTATAAATGTGCCGTTTTGTATACAAACTTATTACTACATCTGAGACATTCTTAGGATAAGGGCGTGATTGAAGAGAAGGGCAAGGAACTACTAAAGCCTTGATTTGACGTTCATTGAATTTGTTTTGACTGGCCTTAACTTTGATTAGCCGGGCACCACTGCTGACTGCTTAGTGCTCGCGGCGCGATGAGCTAACGCGTCGTCTCGCTGAAAGATATACGAGTTGGTATTATAAAGTCTGGCATTTATTAGAGCATTCTGACCGACGCTGGCGAATCCTGTCCCTTCCCCTTCATGTCCGACGTTGCAAGCTTATTCAGCACTTCCTCCACGCGGTATCTGGTTATTACTTGCCTGTCACGGTGTGACCTAGGATATGGCGTACTACTCTCGTGAGAGGGGGGCCGGGGGGGGGAACTCGGGCTGGTCTTGTAAGTCCATCGCTAGGTACCTCCTCCTAATCTTAACGTGACACTGGTTGGCCGGGACGTCTCTAAGACCGTTATCTCGTCTGCCCTACGGGCCACTGTCGTGTCATCTAAACAAATTGTGCTAACTATGCATCGTGGTTTTGGTGAACAACTCCACTATTTTATGGCACACGCGGTTGGTAGCGTGCCGGTGGGCGTTGAGTTAGGCCCAAACCATACTCGTAGTCCGAGTGATACTCAACTAATGTACCGATTGAACTAAACTGCGATCAACCTTCGTCCTCCTCCTCCGATCAAGCTCATCATCAAGAAGCTGATTCATTCTTTCCTTCATAAACTGCATGCTACTAGGTCGTTCAATAAGTAAGGTAAAATCGCATTTATTTCAGTCCACCTTTGGTGTAACGACATGAAACTTGCAACAAATGTTAACTGAAATTTTGTCTACAAAATGGCTATAAGCATTTGGTAGCAGGTCTCGTCGGTCAACCACCCCAGCCTTCAGAACTCGCAACTACTTCCAATCACCGTTCAGGCGCACGTGCTTATCTCAGCACTTCACCAGGCACTGAGAACCCGCTCGGAAAACTCCTTATTGATGTTTTTCTTTACCATGTGTTTTTATTCTCTTGATTGCCTCATCCGTAAGAAAGTTATTCCCAGAAACAGAATGCTTCCGGCGATCCGAACAGATTGAAGTTGGACGGCGCCAGATCAGGGCTATACTCCAGCATTCCTGTACTGACAGAGCAAAGCCACCCCCGCACTGATGCCTAGTCGGGAATACTTATGTTTTTGAATGAACTCTTTTGGTATCCATCTCAGGTAGACCTTGAAAATATTTAACGTATCTGATGATGCCTGCAGCCGATTCGACATAACACACTCCGTAAATGAAGTCAGTCGACAGTCACGCAGATGCTTTGGGTCTCCATCATCACCTCCCTGACCTCACGGATTGTGCCAGATCCAGAGGGTCCTGCAAGCATAGGTATGCCTGCCGTAGTCTCTTACACTGCCGTATCACTACCCACTGCCCACCACTAAGCATTGTTAATGGCCATATTACGTCATCAGGGTACAATTTGCTGCCGACGCCGGTTTCGGGATGCATTCGAGGCCCACCTGACAAAACGGCACTTCCCAAACGGAACGGTGCTGCATCAATGTTTTCATACCGACCGTGTTCGGACAACTTTTCAAACTCCTAAAAACGGTTGGATACGTTGGGTAGCAAATTTTTCGTAGATTCAGATGACATATTTTATTTTGTTTAACTTGTTATGGTTAATGAGCTATAGCACATTTTACCTTACTTATTGAACGTCCTAGTACAAAACGTCACCATTTGCGCGCGAATACTGAACGGGATTAACAAGAAGTTCATCTGTCCCTCAAACATCAGAGCTATATAACAATGTCCCAATGCAGCACAATTCAACCAAACCTCCATCCGTTGATCCTATCCTGACTAAGGGGTGGGCCTTATGCCAAGCATCTTTGCCTGGTCGAAACCTAACTCGAGCAAGCCAGAGGCCAGCAGCGTGAATAGAATTCGGGATAGAATAGATAGAACACACCCTCCGCGAGCAGACGCCGAGCCCCTGGTACAGCCCTCGCAGTCGCAGCAGTAAGTGGTTGGTCAGGCGATGTGTTTTGGGAGTGGCATCTTTGGATGACACAGGTACTCCAGTAAAATGACTCAATGCAAAATAAGAAGGGGTTCCGTGTGAGCACTTCGGCAAAATTTGTTGAAGCAGCTTGTAGATGCATTCATGAATATTGATCAATTATTGTGTTGGCAACCAACCACTACATGCTGTGAGGAGCGTACATTCCACGCCGTGGTTAAACACTTCCCTGACGCGGATACGCGCTTTCGCCCTTAAAGATTAGATTAAAGGCTCAACTAATCAGATTCTAATCAGATTATCGTGGTACATGCTTCCCACTACGGTCGCCAATGTTTAAAAACACCCACACTATTGAACCATCGCACACACACACACAAAACATTGCGCTCCCAGAGCCAGCATCGTCCATCACTTCTAATGACGGTTGCCGATCAAACTTTGCTGTAACGCTCCACCACCGCCGACCCGGCAGTAGCACCACAGCACTACAAACTACTGTACTATAGTACATAACAATCTACGGCACTACAGCACTACAAACTACAGCAATTCATCACTATAGAGCTGCTTACTACAACACTACAAGCTCAGCAGTACAGCACTACAGCACGACAGCACTACACTCTGGCAACGAATACTCAGTCACTGTACCTAAAGCATCACTCGGGTGCCCAAGGGTGATGTCTCAGGCCACCACATTCGTTTTGGCGAAGGCACAGGCGAGGTATGTGCGCATGGACAGGTAGCAATCCAAATCAGGATACCCTGTAAAACAGGCGAGCGTTAGCTGAAACGTCACAGAGCCAGGGCTAGCGATGTGATTGTCGCTGGGTCATTCGCGCCGCCGCCGCTTACCTGTCTCAATTAACGCTTACGTATCTCGATTAGTCAGCTGTAAACGGATGTTAAAAAAATGTTATGATTACCAATTAATTTGAAAATGTTTAACGAAGTAGTTGAAAAATGTTGCAAACAAATTGCCTCATTTCGAGCAGAATTACAAAGTTGACGTCACAAGTATGCGTAATAAAAAGATCTCCTGAAAACCTACCACTTTAAGAAAGTCCAGCGATCTCACCCTCAGACGGGCGAGTGTGCGACAGATCAATCACCGGCGGCCGACGGCTCATCTGCACCACAGCGCACACTCGCCTCCGTCAACCTGCCAGCGCAGCAAATGACAAAGGTACCTACCTATTTATTTTAACTGATTTTCGATTGACGTCATGCGATTCCAAGTTTCAGACACAATTATCCGGAATAAGCCTAAGTAGTGTTTCTAAATAGTGTTTTAGAGAAAGAGAGAAAAACTGGAACAAACGAGACAGAGAACCACGCAATTGGCACAGGACAGTCTTACGGCATCAGTAAGCTGATGCCGTGGACGTAACCCACGCATGGTTGTTATTATCATAGTCCTGACGTGGCACTGGTCGTGCTGCCACGGCTGTGGGAGCATCTGAAAGGAGACGGAAGAAGAGATGACACTCATAAAGATGAGGAATGATATTTCGCACCTGTCCAATTTAACCCTCGCCGGCCGAGGGGGAGCGGGTTCTCCCCCCCCCCCCCTCCCCCCAATAGGTTTTTTCGCGATAGCTCCGAACACGCTGGCGATAGAGCTGAAACTTGGCATACCTGACCCTTGATTCAAGCCGGATCTTTTGACAACAACCGGATTTTCGGGTCAGGTCAGGTCACTGACCTATGACGTCATAAGTGAACCTCTGCAAGGTGCTCAGATGTCGCAACTTCAACACGCTTTCAGTGCCAGAGGAGCTTTCACAGGGGATGAAACTTACAGGACCTAGTATCCTCCAGAGGTCTCACAACTTCTATATCTCGGATTATTTTATAATAGTCACATGAGGTCAGATCGGTCACGTGACCTCACCATTATAAGTCAATGGGGAAAAATGAAAAACTGCTATTTTGGCGCCGGGAACGATCTCACACTATCTCAACCATCTCAACCACACGAAATCGTGATTTCAAGAACTCCCTGCAAGTTTCAAATCTTCACTTTTGTATTGTTGACCTTGCGTGACGTCATTTATGACGTCACTGGGGTCATAAGTTTTTCGTCAATAACTCCTGATCAAATTGAGCTAGCGAGCCGAGAAAGCCGCCAATGGACTCGGGAAGACCTACCGAATCGAAAGATATGCAACATGACCTCCTCCGACCAACTTTGTGACCTGGGGGGCTCTGACCTGACCGTGACCCGAGGTCAACACCTCAGGTTGAGCTCACCTAAACAAAAAGTACCTATACCATTCAACGCGCCTGAGTAAGACGAACACGATTATGCCAAAATCGCGGCTCTGCGGCCGTTTTTTGTGAGGTTATTTGCCAAAAACCGAGCCCGTACCTTGGGCCACTTGAACTGACCTCAGAGGTCACCGGTTGACATAAGACCTTAAAATCGGGTACCAATCGCTGCGTAACGTAACGGCGCACACGCTCGCTTTTTTCGCGACGCTCTAGCTCTATCAGGGGCGAAACAGCAAAGGGGGTTGTACCCACCCAACCACCCCCCCCCCCCCCCGGCCGGTGCGCGTATGTAGAAAACCAATAGGTCCAGCGAGAGTTGATAGTTATCGTGATACGCATAGACATCGATTCTCCAACAACGCAGACACCATACATGACAAAGCCTATAAAACACCCCACAGCAGCCATCGAAGTTGATATTTGCAGGATGGTTTGACGTTATAATTGACGGTATAAAACAAAGTGATCAAACAAGCAAGTTTTCTTGGAATTATGATGAGAAGAATCCGTCCATTTAGGCACTCATATTTTACTGATGAGATACTCACGGATGCTGCTGGTGGCAATCCCTGGCCGTTGCTGCTGATGCTGCCACTGCTAGTGATGGCCATGGTCATGCTGAGGACGTTGGTGATGGCGGAACTGAAAGAAGACGCTAGTTCTCAACATTTGTTTAGCCGTACTGGTGCCCAGATGGGTCACCCGAAAGATCGGTGAGATCGCAGGAAGTTTTTTTTTGTCAATAGGAAGCTTGCAATTGACAACAGACAATTTCAAGAGCCCAGCGGATATTCATTGTGAATTTCAGCCCTGCAGAATTGCCAATTTTTAATTTCCATCAACCTCTGTAGGAAAAATGGTTGGTTTAATCTCTACTGTATCGATATGCTACGGAAGTCTTTCGATGAGCCATCTGCTGCTTTTCTGCACCTACCTCTTTTAGTTCACGAGTCTGTGTTAATGAGTCTATGTATGTGTGAGCGAGCACGCCCTAGTCTTACCTCGTGTGTCGGTCTCGTCCACCTTCAGGTAGTAGGGCAGCAGCCGCCACCGGTCCGGCCACTGGCTGACAACAGCATCGTAGGCTGTGCGCAGCCGGTCACCGGTCAGCAGCTGCTGCGTCCGTCGGCGCCAGAGGTCAGCTGTGGCGACCACCGTCGGGCCGTCCATCTCTGGTATCTCTTCACTGAGGTTGTACTCCAGGTCACAGCTGAGGTGCTGCTCCAACATCTCCCGGCACCACTGGTAGGTGGGCGGTGGGCGGAAGTTCCACGCCCAGTGCTCTTTCTCCTTCCGGTCCACCACTCGCCACCAGTCCAATTTCGCCGGTACGGCCTCACTGGCGGCGCGTAGAAGCAGCTCGGGCCGCAGCAGCAACTCGGCCCGACCCCGCGGCGTGTCCAGCTCGGCAGTCAGGCCGGCCGGCCGCTCCGCCGGCGGCCGCCGCAGCTGCCGACCCCACCAGGCGGCCACCGCGGCCGGGCCACCCAGCAGGTACTGCAGGTCCGAACTGGTGAGCAGCTCCGTCAGTGGCTATACGTCCAACGTGACCACGTCGCCGACCGGTGACGTAATCGGTGATCCGCCCACCAGGTCCGCCGGGTCGACTACGCTCCACGCCATGAGCAGAAGGCACTGTTGGCGGTGTGTCCCTGATGTCATGTAGCGGAACCACTGCAGCAGGTGGGGCGCCGCACGAGCCAGGCTGGGAATGGTCCACTTCCACCAGCTCTCCCAGCAGGGAGCCGTGGAGCGGAACCTGATAGCGTCGTACACTGCTAGCCGGACGAGCGTCCGTCCCAGACGGAGCCGCAGCTGGCGCTCTGAGAGCGGCTCGGTCCCGCCCTCCAGCAGTATGTCTAAGGTGGGGCCCCACCGTTTCTCACAGCTGGCCATCATGAGCGGTGTGGAATGCTCCCTCATCAGTCTGAGGGAGCCGATGATGGCCTGCCGTTGAGCTTGGGTCAGTTCCCCCACCACATTAATGCCCGGATGGAAGTAACAGGGCAGCCAGCCGTCGGTGAATCGTTGCTCCAGCCAGCCCAAGATGAGATGGACGCTCTCGGTGACGCTCGACCACGGTCCACCAGGCGTGTCCTGAGCTAGCCAGAGCCCCGCCGTCTTGAGGAAGTACGACTTCAGGCCGTCGGTGGCTACCCTGCTCTCTTTCGACAATTTTCCCATCATTTCGTTCAGCATCTTTTTCATTGCCTTAACTGTGGTGATGGCAGCTCGCAGCCCAGATTGGAGGTGACGGACGGCGATCGCTTCTGCCCGGGACAGCGAGACGCGAAATTCTATAGATTCAGTTTCGCTGCCCGGCCAGCCGGTCGGCACCAGATGTACGCCGAACCGAGGGATGTCGTCCCGCGCCGCCGCCGGCGGAAAATGGGACTCCAAATGGTGATGGTCGGACCATTTCGGGTAGGGCCACCAGCCGCGTACATGCAGGCAAAATACGTAGTCTCGGCCGCCGTCTGAAGGATCATCTGGCCGCCTGACGTTGACCGCAGGGCCGGTGGGGGTGATCTCACCGGGTTTCATCACCCGGCAAAACTCAAGCATAAGCTGGCGGACCGAGTCGGCCGGCAGCGCCTCCAGCAGCTCAGCGTGACTGCACTGGCTCGTCCTGACCCAGTGCAGCGTCACGAAGCCGGTGTTGCTGGTGGGACGGGCCCAAAGCTGTGGCGCAGACTGCGGCATAATGTCGTCCGGCTTCGTCCCCGCCGTTGTCCAACTGAAGGGGCCGTCAAATTCAAACATTTAAAGACATGATGTGGAGATGAATTGTGAATTAAAATGAAATCGGACTTACTCCACAAGAGTTCGTTGGGTCGGAGCTTTCGAATTGTATTACAATTCTTCGTCAGCGAGAGTCGTATCGGATGTTAAGATCGAATCGAAGGTACAGTGCGGATCGAACAAAATATGGGTCGGACAGGAGGGTCTCTGAGGCAACTAGTTGGTCTTGAAATAAACATACAAACACTGGGAAAACACGTGAATAATAACAGGATGCACACTTACTAGAAAAAGCCTGTAAAATGGGTATAAAACACACTAGTAAAATATCTAATACAAAAATATAGGCAGGTAGGTAAAAATACAGTTAATGACATGTAAAAAATTGCATAGATTAGGTGCAAACAGTACCTAAAGCAGAGATAAAGCTTTACAAAAACACGAATAGTAAACTAGACTAAGATGTAAAATATCAAAATGATAAATTCTATAAATGAACTTTTTAACGGCAGAAACGGCGAATAATGGGAAGCCACCTGTCTTGCAGCAGGGCACCAGGTGACCCGGTCGTCTACATCGGAGAAACGGACCGAGAACTTGGAACCAGAGTCCGCGAGCACCGAGAGAGCTGGGCTGGCTCGGTCCGCTCCAGAGCCAACGCTTCAGCGTTCAGCACGCACCGGGACTGCACGCCGGCCTTCGACGACGCCAAAATCCTGAACCGTGCCTGCCACCACCAGATGAGACTCCTTCTCGAATCGGCCTACATTCGTACCGTGGGACGGCGGGAAGCCGTCCTAGTGTCACCCAATGACGCGAATGTGAACCGCAACTCTGGTGCCCTGCTGCAAGACAGGTGGCTTCCCATTATTCGCCGTTTCTGCCGTTAAAAAGTTCATTTATAGAATTTATCATTTTGATATTTTATATCTTAGTCTAGTTTACTATTCGTGTTTTTGTAAAGCTTTATCTCTGCTTTAGGTACTGTTTGCACCTAATCTATGCAATTTTTTACATGTCATTAACTGTATTTTTACCTACCTGCCTATATTTTTGTATTAGATATTTTACTAGTGTGTTTTATACCCATTTTACAGGCTTTTTCTAGTAAGTGTGCATCCTGTTATTATTCACGTGTTTTCCCAGTGTTTGTATGTTTATTTCAAGACCAACTAGTTGCCTCAGAGACCCTCCTGTCCGACCCATATTTTGTTCGATCCGCACTGTACCTTCGATTCGATCTTAACATCCGATACGACTCTCGCTGACGAAGAATTGTAATACAATTCGAAAGCTCCGACCCAACGAACTCTTGTGGAGTAAGTCCGATTTCATTTTAATTCAAAATTCAAACATGATATCGCAGTCCGACGTGCCCCCTTTACCGATGATACCGTCATCAAGCCCCTCAGCACTGCTCCCCGATCTGTTGCAGGTAACAAGTCGCAGGGGCTGACGGGGCTGGCAGTGAGGGCATCTAGCGAAGGCAGAGGCTGTCCTGACCTCCGTCAGAGCCGAAAGAAATGGTTCATCAACCAGACAGCAGATGGCGTCACAAACCTCCTCTGCGGCGATGTGCCCTTGAAGACGGGGACCGGGGTTCACCACAACATCACCGACCAGCAGCAGGGAGTCGGCGGCCAGGTTGGCCGCAGACCCGCACTTCCTCAACAGCTCCATCCTGTAACCAACAAAGATGTCAAAAAGTGTGGCAACTTCTAGTCAATATACATTATTTACACTCGCTTATTCAGTGCATGGTCATGTATGGCCTGAGGATGGCCAGCTCCAATGCTGACATTGATATAGTTACTGTCTACTGAGTCTGACCCCCAGCAAACTGAAACTGTTGCAAAGGTGAAAATAATCTATAGCACACCCAACTCAAATTGGATAAAAACTAAGCGCCAATATGTTCAGGAACATAGAAAATTGTGAAAAAGGTCATTTACCTCCAAAAAATTTGATAGCTGCCCCAAATTATACGAAAAGAGGAGCCACATCACGAGCCACACATTGTCACGATCACGAAACAATTGTCATCTCATATTGATATGATTATATTCTGATAATTTTCATTCTGTTAGTCTTCTTAGTGCTTGTGCAAGGAGCGGGTGGTATTGGGATTGCCTATTTATGGTTGACACTCGAGTCTCGACTCACCTGTTGGCTGTTACTGTTACGGTGAAAATTCTTGGAAAATCACAGGAGCCTATCTAGGATTTTTGTATTTTTTACCTCTTTCCTGACACTTTTTAAAGGGACCCTCCCACCTTAACATTAGATTTGAGTTGAGATAGCCAAAATGGGGTCCCTGGCTCACAATTACCGGTTTCGGCACTCACAACATCGAGAAATGCCTTAAATCGGAAATATTGAATTTCAAAATTGCAGCATTTTGATTCAGAGGGGCTAATGCTTAGGAATACCCCTCTGAATGTGTGACGTCAGCGCAGAAATCTAACGATTTTGAAATGTTTGACTAAAACGTTTTGTAGCACGCGGTGGTATATGCTATTTGCGCGCAACATCTGCCGCAAACGCCGCACTTCTAAAATAAAGTCGCTAGAAACAGCGGAGATCCCAAAAATGTAAATAAAAGTAAAAGTCTAATATCTTGAAAACCAGTGAATATTTTTCGGTGAAATTTTGTAGATATTCGTTTTCGCTCTTTCTGAACCGAGCGACATCACTTTCATGCCAATTCATAAACTTAGTTGAAGGTGGGAGGGTCCCTTTAAGATGCTGCATAATAGGGGACGAAAAATGGTACATACACACTTACACAGATCGCACAGATCTGCAGTTATTCGTATGCCACCGCAAAAAAAAAAAAACAAGTAGAAAACCCCCAAGGGCAAAACATGGATTAGAAACGAATACGCCAATACTTCATCCATTATAGAGTTCAGTGATCCAGTGATCCATGGGCAAAGCAAGCAAAACAAGATTTGTCACATGTGCGTCACGACTTCCAAGCTGCCAAAGTAAAATGCTTCCATACGTCCATCAATTGAGCAGCAGATTGATATTCGCGAATATCAAACTAAAAATTCGATATTCGGACGGGGAACGCAATAACTCAAGAACCAGTGAACCGATTTTGATGAAAATGCCCTCATTCGATTCCTCGTTCCTTATTGCAGGTTGACAGCGATTTCCAGGTCACTAGGTCATGACCTTCAAGGTCAAGGTCAAAGGACGGGGAACGCTCTACAGCCTAAAGTTACCGTCCGATTGGCTTGTAAATGGTCTCAATCGATTCCCCGACCACGATTCCAGCTTGACAGCGATTTCCAGGTCACTAGGTCATGACCTTCAAGGTCAAGGTCAAGGTCAAAGGACGGGGAACGCTCTACAGCCTAAAGTTACCGTCCGATTGGCTTGTAAATGGTCTCAATCGATTCCTCGACCCCGATTCCAGGTTGACAGCGATTTCCAGGTCACTAGGTCATGACCTTTAAGGTCAAGGTCAAGGTCAAAGGACGGGGAACGCTCTACAGCCTAAAGTTACCGTCCGATTGGCTTGTAAATGGTCTCAATCGATTCCTCGACCCCGATTCCCGATTGACAGCGATTTCCAGGTCACTAGGTCATGACCTTCAAGGTCAAGGTCAAGGTCAAAGGACGGGGAACGCTCTACAGCCTTAAGTTACCGTCCGATTGGCTTGTAAATGGTCTCAATCGATTCCTCGACCCCGATCCCAGCTTGACAGCGATTTCCAGGTCACTAGGTCATGACCTTCAAGGTCAAGGTCAAGGTCAAAGGACGGGGAACGCTCTACAGCCTAAAGTTACCGTCCGATTGGCTTGTAAATGGTCTCAATCGATTCCTCGACCCCGATTACAGGTTGGCAGCGATTTCCAGGTCACTAGGTCATGACCTTCAAGGTCAAGGTCAAGGTCAAAGGTCGGGGAACGCTCTACAGCCTAAAGTTACCGACCGATTGGCTTGTAAATGATCTCAATCGATTCCCCGACCCCGATTCCAGCTTGACAGCGATTTCCAGGTCACTAGGTCATGACCTTCAAGGTCAAGGTCAAGGTCAAAGGACGGGGAACGCTCTACAGCCTAAAGTTACCGTCCGATTGGCTTGTAAATGGTCTCAATCGATTCCTCGACCCCGATTACAGGTTGACAGCGATTTCCAGGTCAATAGGTCATGACTTTCAAGGTCAAGGTCAAGGTTCGCGAATATCAAACTAAAAATTTGATATTCGGACGGGGAACGCAATAACTCAAGAACCAGTGAACCGATTTTGATGAAAAGACCCTCATTCGATTCCTCGTTCCTCATTGCAGGTTGACAGCGATTTCCAGGTCACTAGGTCATGACCTTCAAGGTCAAGGTCAAGGTCAAAGGACGGGGAACGCTCTACAGCCTTAAGTTACCGTCCGATTGGCTTGTAAATGGTCTCAATCGATTCCTCGACCCCGATTCCAGGTTGACAGCGATTTCCAGGTCACTAGGTCATGACCTTCAAGGTCAAGGTCAAGGTCAAAGGACGGGGAACGCTCTACAGCCTAAAGTTACCGTCCGATTGGCTTGTAAATGGTCTCAATCGATTCCCCGACCCCGATTCCAGCTTGACAGCGATTTCCAGGTCACTAGGTCATGACCTTCAAGGTCAAGGTCAAGGTCAAAGGACGGGGAACGCTCTACAGCCTAAAGTTACCGTCCGATTGGCTTGTAAATGGTCTCAATCGATTCCTCGACCCCGATTACAGGTTGGCAGCGATTTCCAGGTCACTAGGTCATGACCTTCAAGGTCAAGGTCAAGGTCAAAGGACGGGGAACGCTCTACAGCCTAAAGTTAATGTCCGATTGGCTTGTAAATGATCTCAATCGATTCCCCGACCCCGATTCCAGCTTGACAGCGATTTCCAGGTCACTAGGTCATGACCTTCAAGGTCAAGGTCAAGGTCAAAGGACGGGGAACGCTCTACAGCCTAAAGTTACCGACCGATTGGCTTGTAAATGATCTCAATCGATTCCCCGACCCCGATTCCAGCTTGACAGCGATTTCCAGGTCACTAGGTCATGACCTTCAAGGTCAAGGTCAAGGTCAAAGGACGGGGAACGCTCTACAGCCTAAAGTTACCGTCCGATTGGCTTGTAAATGGTCTCAATCGATTCCTCGACCCCAATTACAGGTTGACAGCGATTTCCAGGTCACTAGGTCATGACCTTCAAGGTCAAGGTCAAGGTCAAAGGACGGGGAACGCTCTACAGCCTTAAGTTACCGTCCGATTGGCTTGTAAATGGTCTCAATCGATTCCTCGACCCCGATCCCAGCTTGACAGCGATTTCCAGGTCACTAGGTCATGACCTTCAAGGTCAAGGTCAAGGTCAAAGGACGGGGAACGCTCTACAGCCTTAAGTTACCGTCCGATTGGCTTGTAAATGGTCTCAATCGATTCCTCGACCCCGAGTCCAGCTTGACAGCGATTTCCAGGTCACTAGGTCATGACCTTCAAGGTCAAGATCAAGGTCAAAGGACGGGGAACGCTCTACAGCCTAAAGTTACCGTCCGATTGGCTTGTAAATGGTCTCAATCGATTCCTCGACCCCGATTCCAGGTTGACAGTGAGTTCCAGGTCACTAGGTCATGACCTTCAAGGTCAAGGTCAAGGTCAAAGGACGGGGAACGCTCTACAGCCTAAAGTTACCGTCCGATTGGCTTGTAAATGGTCTCAATCGATTCCCCGACCCCGATTCCAGCTTGACTGCGATTTCCAGGTCACTAGGTCATGACCTTCAAGGTCAAGGTCAAGGTCAAAGGACGGGGAACGCTCTACAGCCTTAAGTTACCGTCCGATCGACTTGTAAATGGTCTCAATCGATTCCTCGACCCCGAGTCCAGGTTGACAGCGATATCCAGGTCACTAGGTCATGACCTTCAAGGTCAAGGTCAAGGTCACAGGACGGGGAACGCTCTACAGCCTTAAGTTACCGTCCGATTGGCTTGTAAATGAACTCAATCGATTCCTCGACCCCGATTCCAGGTAGACAGCGATTTTCAGGTCACTAGGTCATGACCTTCAAGGTCAAGGTCAAGGTCAAAGGACGGGGAACGCTCCTACAGCCTAAAGCTACCGTCCGATTGGTAACTTCAACTTTATTGGTAACGGTAACTTTAGGCTGTAGAGCGTTCCCCGTCATTTGACCTTGACCTTGACCTTGAAGGTCATGACTTAGTGACTTGGAAATCGCTGTCCCCCTGTAATCGGGGTCGAGGAATCGATTGAGACCATTTACAAGCCAATCGGACGGTAACTTTAGGCTGTAGAGCGTTCCCCGTCCTTTGACCTTGACCTTGACCTTGAAGGTCATGACCTAGTGACCTGGAAATCGCTGTCAACTTGGAATCGGGGTCGAGGAATCGATTGAGACCATTTACAAGCCAATCGGACGGCAAGTTTAGGCTGTAGAGCGTTCCCCGTCCTTTGACCTTGATCTTGACCTTGAAGGTCATGACCTAGTGACCTGAAAATCGCTCTCAAGCTGGAATCGGGGTCGGGGAATCGATTGAGACCATTTACAAGCCAATCAGACGGTAACTTTAGGCTGTGGAGCGTTCCCCGTCCTTTGACCTTGACCTTGACCTTGAAGGTCATGAACTAGTGACCTGGAAATCGCTGTCAAGCTGGAATCGGGGTCGAGGAATCGATTGAGACCATTTACAAGTCAATCGGACGGTAACTTAAGGCTGTAGAGCGTTCCCCGTCCTTTGACCTTGACCTTGACCTTGAAGGTCATGACCTAGTGACCTGGAAATCGCTGTCAAGCTGGAATCGGGGTCTGGGAATCAATTGAGACCATTTACAAGCCAATCGAACGGTAACTTTTGGCTGTAGAGCGTTCCCCGTCCTTTGACCTTGACCTTGACCCTGAAGGTCATGACCTAGTGACCTGGAAATCGCTGTCAACCTGCAATGAGGAACGAGGAATCGAATGAGGGTCTTTTCATCAAAATCGGTTCACTGGTTCTTGAGTTATTGCGTTCCCCGTCCGAATATCGAATTTTTAGTTTGATATTCGCGAACCTTGACCTTGACCTTGAAAGTCATGACCTATTGACCTGGAAATCACTTACCGCCAGTAATCGGTGTCGAGGAATCGATTGAGACCATTTACAAGCCAATCGGACGGTAACTTTAGGCTGTAGAGCGTTCCCCGTCCTTTGACTTTGACCTTGACCTTGAAGGTCATGAGTTAGTGACCTGGAAATTGCTGTCAACCTGGAATCGGGGTCGAGGAATCGATTGAGACCATTTACAAGCCAATCGGACGGTAACTTAAGGCTGTAGAGCGTTCCCCGTCCTTTGACCTTGACCTTGAAGATCATGACCTAGTGACCTGGAAATCGCTGTCAAGCTGGAATCGGGGTCGGGGAAT